ATTGTAGTGAAAATTACATATAGTAGTTTGCTTTGTAATCTTCTATTTTAATACATAATATGTACATAAGCGAACTTTTGTACGTACATCATTGACCCTATACAGTCAACTCTCGCTATTACGGACACCCTCGGGACCGTAATTTAGTGTACCCGCAGTAGCGAGAGTCCGTAGTAACGAGTATTACTTTCACAGTCATTTCTTTGTATTTTTCGCCGGGGAGTCAGTATTTTACTGTCCGCAATATCGATGTGTCCGTTGTAGCGGGGTGTCCGTAAGGCGAGAGTTGACTGTAGACCATATGAAAAGGGTGTGGCTATTGTAACAACTTTGTTTATAAGTTGTTTAATAAATCATGAATATTCGTTTAGACATATTATAATGATTACGATCTGAAAGTTTGATTGCTCTAAACTTTCAAGAACCAAGATTTACACGAGGTGTTTAGAAATTGGAAAGGTTTGAGTAAAAATCAGTATTTAGGCCCTTACCAGCCTCGATTTCACGTTTTTGGTACATTTCAAATGCTCGTAACTCTGCTGATATTCAACATTTGAAACTAAAAATCTGCCACTTTACTAGTTTAGATGTATTCTTTATTTGGAAAAAGCAGATTTTTAAAAATATGGACATTTTGACAATTTGGTTCGTCCGTAGTAAAACGTGCAACATCGCTTTGCCACTTGTTTTGCAACAATGTTGCGAGACAAGTTGGACGATTTTGCTGCTCGCATTACCGTACCTCAAACTGAACCAAGTTGAATTGAATTGATTTATTAAGAAATGTCATTAACAGTTAACACAGAAGAAAGCGCTAGATGAGCTCTTCTCCAATACCACGTGGTCGATAGCGAAAACTTCAAAGGATGCGGCGGATATTGAAGTCCTTAAGCATTGGGAYGGCGCTAATACCAACATCTACATATCACTTGTTATATTTATAGTCCTTAAGGTAAAGTATTAAGTAATTCTAGTGCWATTATAGAGTTACATAGTAATGTCAGGTCTTTTCTTCGCTATTGTGCATTGCTGACTTATAGCGCCACCATTTTTTCAAAATGTCAACTCAGAAGGGTTTTTATCCTTTGGTTGAGCTTGGCGTCTATTGAAAAGGTCATTGCAATTGACATTACTATTTTTGCCAAGAGAAACAAGTTCTCTTTGCTTCTGACGGTCTGTTGCCTGCCAATTCGTAGACCAGTGGCACATTTTGTTTATTAAAAATGGCGGTCGTTTCAGAACAATCTGGTTTGATCATCCATGAGTTATTATTATTAGTTATTATACTAATGTTCTGAGTTTTAACATTTCAAGTCTCCCGTTGTAAATTYGTCGTATTTTTCACTGAATGATGAGTCCATTGTTATTGTTATGCATAAGCATTGCTGGTGTACAATTATTTGTACTTCGTCCTGTGCTTACRTCTCTGTTCATATTTCTAGTTTCTTATGACAGCTGTTGCTGTTGCACTTCCTTTACCTGCTGGTGTGTTCTTTCCTGTTTTCGTCATAGGTGAGTACATGCATTCATTCAAGATGGCACATCATGTAATAGCCCTTTGCGCGGTCAGGAAACAAGTTGCGCGAGGAGTCTGTAGTTTTGCACCAAAGTGAGGCAAAATCAGGCAAACCAAAAAGTTGTCAATTTTTAGCTTGCTTTATCCTTGTGCAATGTCAAGAAAATTTTAATGCTGAAAAAAAGTCGTAATTTTGATATTACATGGCACTCTTGTTCATTTGAGGGCTGCAGAAAACATGTTGCCCGCTTTGGTTTTAACCGCGAAAAGGTCTATTGGCCGTATAGTCTGAATCGCCCAAAAGCGCGTCTTTCCATTGTTATTAAATCTCTTGAGGGATCTAGAGTAATGTCAACCGCTAGGCCCAAAAGTCTGCCCGGGAATCAACTTGTTAGCAAATCAGTTTGTTCTCTCGTTCTTTTGTACTTTTCCTCGATGCTATTATAGGAAACAAGAAACTCTTAATGCATTATAGATAGAAGATATTACATGAGCGCGCGGAAATACGGATTTTATCTTCGAGTGATGAAAAGATCTCTCACGAGTGAGCGTATAATTGCATATGAAAGCATATTATGTCGTAAAATACCTTTTTTCTTACTTCCACTATATAGAGAAACCTCGAATGTATTATTTGTACTAGTGAAACTTTACGAAATCAAAAAAACATAGTTATTTCATAGAAAATAATATGATAAATCATATTTCTACTAGGTGCTGCATTTGGCCGTTTAGTGGGAGAAGCAATGGCGACTTGGTTCCCTGACGGTATTCGAGACGGCGATATTGTTAGTTTAGTAGTTCCTGGAGGATATGCCGTTGTAGGTAAGATATTTATCTTGGAACCGCAAATGAAATCGGTACCCACTCATTTTCTCCGCAGCCATGTTAGGTTCTGTCACACACTATACGTAACCAAAACTGCATTCACACTGTTTAAAGTCCAATGGCTGACCATACCCTAAAGACAAATCTGAATTATTTGCCTTAACTCTATCAGTGTCGTATCCAGCATATGCATGAAACCGAGGCTTGTTCCAAAATATTCATCTTTGATAACGAGGCACTGACGGGGGTCGAAGCTTGTGACCAATTGCTTTAAAAGCATTTGTTGGATAAAACAAAAGGGCCTATCTTGCGTGTCTATTGTATTCTGCTGAGGTTTGTTTGTATTTCGGGGTATTTTAGTATAGTTTCTACTGCTTCATTGTTCTAAGGCTTTGTTTCTATTGAATAAACCCTTTTAGCGATCTCTTTTAC